AAAAGTCCCGATGTTTGGAAAGAATGCGCCACAAGCTCGGGTGCACGGTTTTCGGCTGCCATGTGGCTATTTCGCCAGGATGTGAGTTTTATCCGTGGTGTCCCGCGTCAGCAATGTTCAAACTGGTCACCTCGTTTGGGGAGTTGGGGGACAAGCCGATCACGTCCAGCTCCCTCGACAAAGGACGCGTGTGGGTCAGAGCAGACTCTGGGCAGCATGAGAAGTAGGCACGGTCCTAAACACGTCGTTGTGCGCGTGTGGGACTTGTGCACGAGCAAGAGAAAGACGAGGGAACTGAACCGGGGACTGGTGGCGGGTTGTGCTCAGGGAAGATGTGGCACAAGGGCCAGCCTGCTGTCCGGACCGGAGCTCGGACAGAGAGCTCCCCACAGGCGTGGACGGTGGACTCTCGTCTCACCTGCTCCGGACGTGTGTGCAGGAGTGAGCAGTCCTGAGAAGGCCGTGAGCCACGGAGGCCCTTGGCCTGACGGGTTGACCCAGCGGCTGCAGCCATGGCCTCCCGGTGGTGAGGGTGCACACACCTGCGCGGGTGTCCTTCTGCGTGCACAGGGGCCCCAGGGGTTAGCGCTGACTCCCAACACCCAACAGCAGCAGTGTCGGCTGTGATCGAATTCACCCTAAATAAGCACAGGTCTGTGAGCCCCTTCACAGAGGCCAAGGGCTGGGGTCACCCCTGCTCTCCTGAGTGACGGTCCAGGCTGGGTTGGATCCTCTGATGAGGTCGCAGGGGCTGCCAATCGGGTTCAGGAGCACACCTTGCAGTAGTTGGCGTCAGTGCGCAGGTGTCAATCCAGGACTTCTCATTTGCATCCCTGAGTGGGACCTGCAGGGCAAGCACGATGTCAAGAACCTCAGGTGCAGCCTCTGACCTTCACAAGAGCCCTTAGCCGGAGCTGGAGATGCATCAGAACCCAACCAGGACCTTCACTGTCTCTGTAGAGGTCTGCAGGTGGCCGCTCCGAGCAGCAATGGCTGACCCCTCAGTCTGCAGAGACCCTGACCTGCGGGTGGTAACATGGGTCTGCGCAGGCTTCTGGGAGCACCAAGCAGTGGCCCCCAGACCGCCAACGTGTGGGTCTCTCCCCTCTTAGCCACTCAGCACCACAAAGAGGGTTTTCACGCCCCTGCCCTTTCCGACTCAGGCGGGCAGGCTCGGACCGTTCGGGCTCAACAGGCTGCAGCTGCGATTGGGATGCAGGACCTCCGGGCTGTCCCGTTGATAGGACCCCCTCAGTCAGGCCAAGAAGGGGTGCAGCCCCGATAAACTGCCGCTTTGCACACAGCACACAGGACCCCTGCTCGCCCCTCTCAGCGAGGCAGGGGAAGGACCCTCACTGCTTGGCTCCCGAGAGCCCAGCCAGGTGGGCACCTTCAAGGGGACCCTGGACGGACACTGCTTCTTTGTCTTTTTTAAATCATTTTATTCGGGCTCAGACAACTCTTACCACAACCCGTCCATCCAGCCAGGTGTAAAGCACATGTGTACATTCAGTGCATGGCGAGAAAGCATTTCCTCTCCACATAAGCCCCCAGCATCAGCTCCTCATTTTTTCCCTTCCCTCCCTCATGAACCCTTGATAATCTATAAGTTATTATTTTGTCATGTCTTGCCCTGTCTGACGTCTCCCTTCACCCACTTTCTGTTGTCTGTTCCCCTGGGGAGGAGGTCACATGTAGATCCTTGTAATCTCCCCTTTTCC